TTGAGGACTCTGGCAAATGTCTCGAGAGCTGTCTCTCTTATGTACCCCTTCCCCCTACCTCCCTAAACTCCAAAACTCCATGAGAAGAAGGCTGGTTATTGCTAATTTAGGACACTTTTCAAACCAAAACTGAAAATAACTTCAAAAGAATGTGACATCTTTGGGATACAAAATGCCATTGCCAGGAGATGTTGCTTATAGGAAAGTAAAATACGGTCTGACTCTTTTTCAGCTGCTGTCGTGCAGAAACAGTGGTTCCAGCTCACTAAAATCGCTGCCCGAATGAGGGAATGAGGATCTTCTGGGAAATGTAGGCTCCTCATGGAGGATTGTGGTTTGAAAAGATTCCCACGCAGTGATTTTTTTAAATGCCTACTGACCTAACTGCAGTAGCTGCTTTTCCATCATAATCTGTTATATAATCACCAGGCAACTTTGGTTCTGCCTCTTAGAAGACTGATTCAAACTTAACCATCTAGACCAGCCCCACTGACCTTTTCTCTAGAATCTGTGAGGCTTATTGGAATTACTTTGGCAGAATTAGGGAAACTGGTGATTTCGACCAGGTTAATCCTGGGAAAATGTTCTCCGGGGATCCTTTGCCTTCCCAGGCTTGTGAGAATTGTCATTAAGCCAACATCTGGGATTTGAATGGCTTGAGAAAAATTAAACTTGGTACCTTGGTAAATGTTTGACCCCAAGTGACTCCCTCCACCTTCCAAATTTTGACCTTTAGTATTGTATATTGGAGCCTGTAGCATCTGAGAAATTATTTTAGTCTGAATTCTGTGATGGAAATAACAGAAGTGAAGTCTGGAGATCTTAAACAAACAAATGAATGTGTTAGGATATAGAGTAGCTCACAGCACAGCAGAAGCTGAGAGTCTGCTGCGTGAAAGTGTAAGAGAAGCTCTAAGAATTCAGGTGTTAGGAATAATGGAGTTTTCTCTGGCCATTGCTATCCGAGTAAATGATTTGGGACCATTCTGAGTTTTTGGGTCACTTCTCTTGACATCAAAGTTCCAGGTCAAGAGCCTCTGATAGACCTAGTTTCAACCATGTCTCTATCCTCCCTTTGGCCGAGTTAAGGGAAGGTACCATGATTGATAACTATTTCTCCTATCAGGGAAAAGTGATTCTCCAAAGAAAAAATCAAGCCTCTCTGTATCAGGCTTACCATGGCACCGTGGCTCTCCTTTGGCAGGAAAGAAGCGGTACAATTTTATGGAGAGAGGTGTGGAGGTGGGTTATACTATTTCTAGCTCACTGTCTTCCAATTCTACTTCATATCTTCTCTCTCCTCCAGACCATGAATTAGCATTCCCACCCTAGGCATTCCCACACTGGGCGAGCATACACCCCTCCTCGGGAACAATCTGTGATGTATGAGCAGCTTAGAATTTTGAAGAAAAAGAAAAATGGGCAAGATGAGGGATATTGGAGACAGAAGCGGGTATCACACCCTCCTTGTGAGCTGTTGAGTTGATTTTATTTCTCCTCAGGTCAACCCATTTTTTTTTTTTTTAACAAAAATGAATTTCAGAGAAACTCAAGTTATATTTCTACTGCAGTACCTTGAATTTTTATTTGTGATTTCTTAAATGAGAAGAGAAAACAAAAGTACAGTCACAGCCAAAGATGTTTCTTTAATTCCTTGTTCTAGAACTGACCTCTCTATGATTTTTTATTGCATTATATAATTAGTTATACCATACATAATTTAACATGTTCTTTTATTGATGAGATAAACCAGAAAAAGGAGTGGGCCAGAGGAGTGGGGAAAAGTTATTGAGCAGAGCCCCTTCTGGACCCCACCCACCAGGCAATAACTCCTTTGAATGCTTGCTGTCGCTCCAATCCTTGATCTATTCTGCCTTGGGGGTTCCATATAAGTGACCTCTCTGCTGATGGTAGCTAGCTAGTTATGACACCCAGGACTTCATCCCAATGCATCCTGGGATGGACCAAAACAATGCCACACACTAGAGAGGAAATCCCTTCCAGTGTCATGCCTGTGCAGGTTCTGGTTTGGGGAATACCTAATCCTGTTTTTGCTTTAGAAATATATACGGGCTTGTTTCTCCCTTAAGCCCACTCTTTAACATTTTTAATTTATTATTTTTTTTAAGTCGATTTATTTTGAAAGAGAAAAGACAGCGTGCACAAGAGGGGTAGGGGCAGAGAAAGAAGGGAAGAGAGAACCCCAAGATGTGGGGCTTGAACTCACAAACTGTCAGACCACCACCAGAGCCGAAACCAAGCGTCAGACAGTTAACCGACTGAGCCACTCAGGCACCCACCCCTCTTTAACATTTTTTAAACTTTAGTATGTTTCAGAGTTCAGTGAAAAGTTAATAATTGAGTTTGATTCATGCGAGAGCAAATCATTGTGTTCATTCTGCTTTTCCCTCTTTTTCCTTTCTGTTCAAATTACCTACTCTAGTACTGCACATTTTTCTCATGCCTCTTTCACTATAAGCCACCAAAACAGAATGGAGCCGATGTTCACTGAACACCTGTCACACGACAAGCATTTTGACAAGTGTTTTTGCATATATTATTTCATTTACACTTGTAGTATCTTCGGGGGACACATGTGTAATCCAAGATCCAGAGCAATTAAAAAAAAAATCCAGGGTCTCAAAACTAGTAACTGGTGGGTTCATATTGGAACCTACATCTGTTTGATTTCAAAACACATTCTTTCCATTCATTATGTCAAGTGAAATAGTTAGATATCAGCTCGTCAAGGATTACTAAGCATCCCAGGAACAAATGCATGTTAGGAGTTCCTGAAGACCAAATGGTGACAGAGAAGAAGAACGAACAGAAGTAGAAGGAAGCTCGTATTTGACATATAGTCTCTTGGTTCTCTACCTCTCTCTTTGGGAGCACCCAGAGGGTGAGAGGCTAAGTACTACTGAGTTCAGCTTTGAGCAGGTTAGCTCAGGAAGAAGGATCGCTAAAGGCTGGGGGCCATAAGGTAATCTCAGAAGCTTATAGACTAGATGAAACAAAGCTTTCATTTAAACAGACATTGGTTCATCCTTTCATACAATGAATATTTATTGTATGTGTCTTGAGAGTCTGGGCATACAAAGATGAATAAGACATGTTCCTTCCTTCAATGACTTCAGTGTCTATGGGGGAAGAGAGATAAGTCAACAAGCTATCAGACTACAGCAGGATGATATATATATATGTGTGTATATATATATGTGTGTGTATATATATGTGTGTGCATATATATATGTGTGTACACACATATATGTATGTTTCCATTGCACTGGCGCTCCCCTCTATAATCAACATATCATGGGCACATGCTGATTTTTGGACATTCATGATCTATTCTGTTTTTATTTCCTTTTGAAGGATTACCTCTCCCCTACCGGAAAGTGTAGGGAGACTGTTAAATCTAGGTGCCCTGAAACCTCTACTCACCAACAAACAGCCACCTGACCAACCTGGAACAATGCTCACGCTTTAGAATCAAAATCTTGAAAAGAGGATAGAAGGCTGGAAAAAAATTCCCCAGAAATGATGGAAGATCCTTCCTTCTGGGACAGGGCACTGACAACACTGTTAAATAGTTCTTTCCACCCCACCCTCCCAGCCCTGGGATGAACATCACTTCCTCCTAAAAAGTCATTCCCATTATCTAGAAACCTTGGCAAGGACACCAAATTCCTCTCTGCATCTTATCTCCTAAGCCCCAGAGGTACGTGTTCAGTAGATTCTTAGAAGCAGTCCTGGACAGCACGTAGTACTCCAATGTCAACAAGCAAACTCTAACGATGACTGTATGTCACAAGCACACTTACTACATTTGTGATCCCATTTACATTCTCACCTACACAACCACAGCCCACGCGGTTCACACAGTCTCGCCTATAGGGATTCCCAGGCTGCTCTGTGCTTACAGGCTTTGCCACAGAGGAAAAGTGTTCAAGTACTTGCGGTCATGTGGAAAGAAGCCAACAGCACTTGGGGGTGCAGAGTTGGACTTGATGGACTGTCCTTTCCCTTCAAAAGGACAAGCAGACAACAACCTTTGGGAGTCCATGCCCTCTCTGCCTGCCTGTCCTTTGTACCAGTCTTTTGAACCAGCGAATACGGTGACACCCATAACTACAACCTCTTAGCTGCAGGAAAATAAGCCAATAGGGGAGTTGTGCAAGACACTAAGCAAACATCTACAAGAACTAAGGACTTCATCCTCCCTAGAAAGCCCCCAAACCCTGGACTGGCGAAGGGGGAGCTCGCTTTTGAGATGGAAAAGATAAATTGATAACAGCTCTAGCTGGACTTTCTCTAGTTTCTCTTATTGGAAGATACCTCAGATCCTAAAACAAAACAAAACAAACAAACGAAAGAGATAACTAACATTTTCACAAACATATGAGTGGTACTTGAAACATCCCGCTATTTCCTAGGCAGTCTTCTGAGAAATAAAAGCAAGTTACGGGTATGTTCTAGTAACTTTTGGAATCTCAGCATTTTCAAAACCATATTATTGAATAACTCCCATTTTTAATGCCGCCTAAGTAAACAACATGCTACAGACACTCAGATTGTAAAGGAAATCTTGATGGGTGGTAGAAGGAAAAAGAAGTGTCTCGTGTACCTTTATGCTCTAAGGCGATTTCTGTTGGATGATTAGGTTATCGTATTTGTTACAGCTTCATCACCTGTATTTCGTTTCAAATAAATGGTCTCCAGTCTCTTTGCCAACAAAGCACATTTGATAGAAATGCCTCAAAATCAATTTGTACTGCTTCACCAGTTTTATGCATTTTAAATTTAAGGAAACAACAATTAGGATATTTTCAATAATGAAAAGAACTCCATTAAGCTGCCACAAATGTCAAAAGTTCCTGGCTATGCTAACACTTATGTAACTGTTCTGGAAACCCCACGCACCGGAATAGACCTACAACACTAGGCATGACTCACTGAATATTTCTATGCACATAGAAATTTAGAGCATCTCTCTAAAATGCTCTCCAGTTGGGATTTATTTTTTCAAAGAAAAAAAAATAGACAAAATATGGTACATCAAATCCAAAAGTTCTTTCTGTAATTTTTTGGAAAGTACTGCCTCAGATGAGAGCATTAGAAGATGCTGCTGTTGTCACTAATAAAGCAGCCAGATGGGCTAGTGTTAGAACAGGTTGAAACTTTGAAATTCTTCCTGGAAAAAAAACCAAAAAAAAACAAAAACAAAAACAAAAACAAAACAAAAAAACCCGAAAGAAACAAAAAACCACCAAAAAGCAGAGAACGTGTGGGTTCTCAAATTTCCAAATGGTCCTCATTTCCTCTTGTGACTTTATTCCCAAGTTTGTTTTCTAAAAGTTGTGGCTGGCAGCATATGACTGGTGTCTTAATCTCCTGAGCGATGTCAAGGAAAATGATACATGCCACAAAATGCTAATCAGTACAGGCAGGCCTGGGCCCACAGAGCCAAGACTCTTTGGTAGCGAATGTTCTAATAGTTTTTATCGGACACCTGGTGTAAGTCCAAATTCTTGTGGGGAATTTGCAAAGCTTACGGCATACCTATATCCTAAAGAGTGCATGTTTGGTGGTACTTTTACTACCAAGGGAATGCATTTTGCATCGGCAGCAATAGTCGTAGAATTAGGAATTCAATCGGTGGTGAGCCAAACCAGTTTTGCTGGTGTGAAGGTCCTGAGGGCAGTGCCGCCAGGCAGTTGAAACAGGCTGTAGATGGGAGTTTTTGTTTAGCCAGTAAAGGCTCAGCCATTTGCAGGCCATCCTGGGTTCACCGTGGAGGGTGAAGAGGAGGAATCTGGCGAGCAGTGACCATCGATGGACCAGACAGCCTGGAGTGAGCCCCAGGGCCAAGGCCAGGGCTTGAGAGGAGACCCAAGCTCTGGGGAGGGCCGAAAAGAAAAGGCAGGATTCCAGTTTTAGAGACACTTAGAGGTGAAATGTGGAGGAAAGAAAAAGTTGAATGCAGTTGCTGGAACTGGAGTGCCAGGGAGAGCCTGCAACGAGGAATAAAGTGGACATCTCAGAGCTGCAAGGGAAGCGGGAGCTCAGAACAGAATCCATAGCTCAGCTGACCAGATAACGAGCCCGGTGAACTGCTTGTATTTCTTCTGCCCTAGAGTAGACTCGGGCCGGCACCTGGGCTCGGACTGAGCTGCAGGTGGGGCTCTGTGGCCCCAGCCAGAGGTCGAGCCTGAATTCAGGGCAAGGTGCCAGGCAGATGGCGGGACACCACCCACACCCAAGTCTTCGTGGCTCCCAGCCCTTTCTGTTGTCACAACCTCATTCCCGTCTCTTTTTTGTTTTGTTTTGAACTTTGAAGATCTGCTCTCTCAGCAGCTTTTAAATATTTATTCATTTTAATGTTTATTTATTTTTAAGAGAGAGAGCATGAGCGCAAGCGATGGGGGAGGGGCAGGGAGCGAGGGGGACAGAGGATCTGAAGCAGGCTCTGTGCTGAGAGCAGAGAGCCCAAGGTGGGGCTTGAACTCAAGAACCGTGAGATCATAATCTGAGCCGAAGTCGGACACTTCACCGGCTGAGCCACCCAGGTGCCCCTAACATACAATACAGCATTATGAATTGTGGCCATCTCACTGTACCTTATCTCCCCATGACTGGAAGTTTGTACCCTTTTTTGCAAGCTCTTTTGCCTACCTGAAATTTTAAGCCCAAACTCCCCAGGCTGCTCGTCTTTCAGGATCCAGTTCAAAGAACATCGTCTCTGTGAAGCCCTTCCTGGCTCCTCCAGCTTCCAGGACCACATTATACAACTCTCTAATATGGCACTTAATACATTTTGTCTGGTCCCGTTTTTCTCTACCAGTCTCTCTCCCAACTAGCCTGCGAATTTCTTGCCAAATGAGTCTTGGCATCTCCTGAGGCCAGCATTGTACCGGCACAATGTAAGATCTCAATAAATATTTGAGGGTAAATAAATGGAGTGACTGAGTGAACAACTGTTTATTAAATGCAGATCGATCAATTGATAAATAAGGTAATGGGCGAAGTAATTGTTAACAATGCCGTATATTGACAAAAAATAGAAACTAATCACAGTAGCTGACATTCGTGTGCTGCTTGCTCACTGTCCTGGGCTTCTACGCTAGATCCCTCACACAGGTTATCTTACTTCATCTTTACAACAACCCGAGATGTAAGTGCTATTATAACACCCATTATGCAGATAAGAAAATGGAGGCATTATGCTAACATCTTTAAGAACTCAATCTGATCTGGGATCTGTATGTTCTACTCAGCAGTAGCATTCCTCATTCCTTGGGCCCCTCCGTTCCCACAGGGGATGTGATGGCTCTTGGGGGTTGGGACGAAGGTGTCATCAGGCTCTGCTTGCCTCCCCCCATTTCCCCCATGCCTTACATCAACAAGGAGATTATGTCCCATGCGGTTGTACTGGCAAGTCCCACGTGAAGTCCTTTCCCGACGGGTAAAGCCTCACTGGTGTTGGCCAGAGATCCCTACTTCTCCTCTGAGTTCTTTACCTTCTAGCTTTAAGGTGTAGGACGTGGCAGAGATGGAAGTGAAATAAGGCACTTTCCTATTCATCTGATGTTTACATGTCTCCTTTCTGTGAGGGCCACACAAAGCCCTTTACATACCTTACCCTCTTCTGTCTTCACCCTACCCTATCAAGTAGGTATCTTCATCCCTCAACATATATGTGAAATTCCCAGAGGTTTGGCAACCTGCCTAATGTCCTAGAAGGTAGAAGCGGAACCAGGATTTGAACCTCCAGTTTGACGCAATTCAACCAATATCTATGGATCACCTCCTTGTGGACGTGCTCATCCCCTTCCCACACAGCATGTTGCCACCAATACCCTTTGGTGTCAAGGACGTGGCCATACTCACCTTCTCTGGCTACTGGTTAGAGTCTCCCCCCCCCTTTTTTTTAATTTATTTTGAGAGAGAAAGAGAAAGTGAGAGAGGGAGAGAGAAAGAATCCCAAGCAGGCTCCTCACTGCGCAGAGCCGAACATGGGGCTCTATCCCATGAGCCGTGAGATCGTGGCCTGAGCTGAAATCAAGAGTCAGACGCTTAACAGGCTGAGCCATCCCAAGCGTTCCGGTTAGGGTCTCCTTTAAAGCATGACGCAGAGGCAGCTTTTTGGTGTACCTATTTAAAAAGTCACAGTCTTCGCTTGGGCAGCACATAGACTAAAATTGGAGCGACACGGCGAAGATTAGCGCGGCCCCTGGGCAAGGATGACTTAAAACTTCGTGATGGTTTCCGCATCTTTTTAAAGGAGGGCACTTGTTGCCATGAGCACTGGGTGTTGTCTGGCAGCATTGAATCGTTATACTGTACACCTGAAACTAATATTACACTGTATGTTAACTAACTGGGATTTAAATAAAAACCTTTCCAAAAAAGTCACCAAGATCGAATTCACTGGTGTAAAAGTAGACAAAGTTAGAGACTGAAGCCACGTGTGACAGTGGGTGAGATGAGCGGCGCCTCCAGTTAGAAAAGCCAAAATCTGGGGCGCCTGGGGGGTTCCGTTGGGTGAGCCTCCAACTCCTGACCTCAGCTCAGGTCTTGGTCTCAGGGGTTTGAGTTCAAGCCCCGCCTACTTAAAAAAAAAAAAAAAAAAAACCTCCAAAATCTTTCTCCTGCGTTTTGCCATCCTCTCCTGCTCCTTGGCAGCCCTTGCACGTGTACTTCACATGCAGCCATTTTTGTTCACCTGTTCCTGAGGGCTGGTGTTGACCTGTTATGAAATGATGCAGCCGCAGGAGAGAGGAGACCCGGAGTCCACGCCCGCACTGCTTGCTTTGTGAAATTCCAGACTGTTTAATCGGCTCTACCTCATCCCAAGAACTCCAGCTTCTACTTTTCTTAATGGCTTTCCCCTCCTTAAATGCCTACACAGTTATCTTTGAAGGAGGAGAAAAAGAATAGATGAATCATTTGCAGGAAACGGGGGGCAGAGACATGTGGTTGGAATAGCAGATGGCTGTGTGTGTGGGCACATTGCTGTCTCTGTTGTTCCTTCCACCACCCTTTGGAAATGAATCCTGTGGAAGAGTACATTCATTCCAAGGTGGGGGCTGTGCCCGCTTTCAGGTGCTAACATGCAAACCCACATCCACACGGATTCCTCTCAGACATCTGAACTCCAGGGAGAGTAGAAAACTCAGGCTCTGGCCCAGATTGGACAAGTTGTCCTCTCCTCCAAGTTTTGACATTAAACCTTCTAAAGATAAAGCGATAAACTACACACAATTAGTGGCAGCAGAATTTCTCATACCGTCTTCTTTGTCCTGCAGGATATGAAGTAAGCACATAAATATTCTTCCTATGTCATAGTGCAAGCGCCTGACCTCATCAGGGATCAGCAAATGCCCACAGGGAAGCCGGAGGGAGATTTACGTTCGGATAAAACATGCATTAAGCAGGAAAACACACGTTGTTCTTGGTGGGGCTTTTGGTGGTGGGGGCGTGAAAAGGACATAAAGATATTACAATCTCAGGAACAAGTGCCCATGTGTTGGTCCCCAAAGTTAGCTTCTTGCCGTATGTATGGCGATGACAGCAACTGTGGCTGTTTCTTTTGGATCACTGAAATGTGTTTCTAGAATCCTGAGAATTCAAGAGAACACACAGTTTGAAAAACTTTTCTCAGAAGGTTTCATTTAGGTTCTCCTGTTACTTCTCCATAAATTTCCAGATGTCATCTGGGTGTATGTGCTAGGGTGGGTCATTGTTATTTTACTTTTTAAAGGTATGAAACTCACTTCATCGACAGACTCTCTTTCATTGATTTTTCCCTACTTCCGTCACTGCCATCTGCCCTCCCTACCCTAGATCCAGACTATAGGACCCTGCCGTGAGCACACAAATGTGCAGAAAGATTAGACCTTGTCACCTTTCCCCTTGATGCATTAGGGGTTTTCGTAAAATACACATCTAGAAGTTGAAATGTATTTCTTAGCACAAATTACATACTATTTGGAAACAAAGCATTGTGGTTAAAAGCATTTTTAAAATTATGAACACTCCTTTATTTTTTCCCCATGTTTATTTATTTTTGAGAGAGAGAGAGAGAGAGAGAGACAGAGTGTGAGTGGGGGAGGGGCAGAGAGAGAGGGAGACACAGAAGCAGGCTCCAGGCTCGGAGCTGACAGCACAGAGCCCGATGCAGGGCTAGAATCCACGAGCAGTGAGATCGTGACCTGAGCCGAAATCGGGCACTCAACCAACTGAGCCACCCAGGTGTCCCATGAACACTCCTTTAAAAATTAACTTTAATAATAAAAGTCAGCTGATTAAGAATGAGTAAACTCAGTCCAGGGACCAATCTGAATAACCATAAAAAATATTTCATCAATCCTAAGTCTCATTAATAATAAAATTCCTACCCTTACAGTCGTTATGATTTGATGACTCATTTATCTGAAAGTCATTCATCTGAACCTTAACAAAAGCACTAATTCTTGAATCCTAAAAAGCTTTAAAATTGTACTTTCCACGATTTTAAAACTACGACGTTACTAAACTAATTTTTGTGCCTTTCGAGGGTCCCCAGCCCCACCTGTTCTCTAACCTTTCACCTCTTCCTGAATGGACAGATTCCTGAGGATGTGATTCTGGTGAGAAGACATCTCACCTGCTGCAACCGGAGCCTCAGGGGCTCCAGGACCCAGATCTGTGCCGGCAAGGCCAATCCCCTCCCTGTCTTCCAGGCAGCTTCCAGGAAGCCTTGGGATTGTACCTTCCAACAGAGCCTTAGCAAGAGATCTTTGCCTCAGGTTTTACTTTCTAGACAATTTTACTAAGACAATGATTTTTTAAAAATCACGTCACATCTTCTATCTGACCTCCTGCCTACAGTCTATTTTCTTCCCAATAAGAAATCTCCCGATGAATGGAGATCATAATCTCTACTAAGGTTAACTAGAGCTAAGGGTCTCTGGGTTGAGGATACGTTTCCTAAATCTCATCTAACTTTCCTGTGAGTTTTCTCTCACCTCAATAGGACTGGATAGAGAAGCTTCTGGCCACTTCCGTGTGGAGAACCAGGACAATAGAGAGTGGCTTTTCCTATATCCACCCTGCTATTTACAAACCTACTTCCTGATCTCCATCTTATCATCTCTGATGCTTTCTTCTACCTTCATTGTGTCCTTACCTCCCATTTCACTTCCAGCTGATTCCTGATATGTACTTGTGATAAAGCCAGTTCAAAGTAATATTCAAAATCCTCTTGATTCAGGATATTCTTTTTTTGTGTAAAATATGTATCTTTCAATCAGCAGCTAAAGAACATCAGCTGCCAAGAGCAATGTGCTATTTGGGGACTGTAAACAAGACACTTTGGTGTCACAAGTCTTTCCCAGACTGAGAAAGAGAAGTAAAGGGACTTTTTCACTTCTCTGTTTAATGGGTCAGATAGTCTCCTCTCAGGGAGGGAACCGGGGGGGTGAGAATAAAAGCTTTTAGATATTTAGTTGGTATTACTCTTTCCTTTCTGCTTGGGCGGAAGGCAGGTCCTGTGAATGCTAGGAGAGTATATTAAGGTTGTTATTTTAATGGGTGAAAATTCCTTGGAAGGTTCGCATAGATAATAATGGCTGAGGCAGAGCTTAAAACAAACAACCCTTCTGGGATTAAAACAAAACAAAAACCAGGGCTCTTTGACCCTGAGCAATTCTAAGGAGTGAGAGCAGTTTTAATTACAAGATGAGATTTAGAATGAGTTGAGAAGGAAAAGTCAGGCATCAATGAGTTTTGTATCAAAACGCTCTTTGGGCTTATCAAGTGCCTCTACGTGTTTTCTGTTTGAAAGTAACGATTCATTAATGGTATTTAAGTTCAGTGGCTACAATGACTTAATATTATGGTCGAAAGTAAGGTCTGAAAAATACAATAGGATTTTTTTTATTTTACTTATTTATTTGGCAGTCAAAACTGGGTAGAGAATGTGATAAGTTCACAGGAAAGGCAATCCATACGGATTTTAAACATACAAGACAGATGCTCTACCTTACTCTTAATAAGAGAGTTGCACATTAAGGTTACCAGGAGATGTTGATATCATCTATCAGATCGGCAAAATGTTTGCGAGCACGCTGTGTCAGCTAAGGTGTGGGGAAATACATTACTGGTGGGAATGCAAACCAGTATAATGGGGCGTTTGGGGGCTATCTACCAAAATTATAAATTCACATGCTCTGACCAAGCAATGCCACATTTAAGACTTTATACTGCAGATACACCTGTGTACAAAGGGGGTAAATGTGCAAAAGGTCGTATTCATTGCAGTCACTGCTTGCAATAACAAAAAAGATTATGTGCAACCTCCATATCCATCAATAGGTAAGTTAGATAAACAACAACAACAACAACAACAACTATGTAACATGTGGAGACATTTGAACAGGAGCTTTCTTCTAACACATGGGAAAACCACATTCTGTAGTTCCAAGTCCCCTGACAGTAGCATACACATTGCTATTTTTTTCAAAATAGACTTTATTTTTTAGAACAGCTTTGGGTTTATAGCAAAACTGACCAGGAAGTACAGAGATTTTTTTTTTATAGATCCCCCGTCCCCACACATGCATAGCTTCCCCCACTACCCACATCCAGCACCAGCATGGTACATTTATCATAACTGATGAACGTACATGGACACACCACTATCACCCGAAGTTCATACTTTACGTAAGGGTTCACTCTTGATGGAGTACATTCTATGGATTTTGGCAAACATATAATGACACGTATTCGCCATTAGAGTATCACACAAGATAGCTTCCTAGCGGGGCGCCTGGGTGGCTCAGTTGGTTAAGCGTTCGACTTCAGCTCAGGTCATGATCTCACGGTTTGTGAGTTTGAGCCCCGTGTCGGGCTCTGTGCTGACAGTTCAGAGCCTGGAGCCCGCTTCAGATTCTGTGTCTCCCTCTCTCTCTGCCCCTCCTCTGCTCGTGCTCTCTCTCTCTCTCAAAAATGAATAAACATTAAAATTTTTTTTAAAAAGAAGATTGTTTCATAGCCATAAAAATCCTTCGTATTCCACCAGTTCATCCCTGCCTCCCACTAACCTTGGGAAGTTACCTGATGTTTTCAGTGTCTCCATAGCTTTGCCCTTTCAAGAGCGTCATATAGTTGGAATCACAGAGTACGTAGCCTTTTCAGATAGGCTTCTTTCACTTAGCAATATGCACATAAGTTTCTTCCGTGTCCTTTCATAGCTTGATAGCTCATTTCTTTTTAGTGCTGAATAATATTCCATTGGACGAATCACAGTTTATCCCTTTACCAATTCAAGGACATCTTGATTGTTTCCAAGTTTGGGCAATTTTCAATGAAGCCGCTATAAACATCTGTGTGCAGGGTCTTGTGTGAACGGTTTGCAACTTCTTGGGCAAATACTAAGGAGCATATGAGTGCCGGATCATATGGTAAGAGTATGTTTAGTTCTGTAAGAAGTTGTCAAACTGTCTTCTAAAGTGATTATATACCATTTTGCATTCCTACCAGCAGTGTATGAGAGTTCTTGTTGTTACGCATCCTCACGAGCCTTCGGTGTTGTCAGTGTTCCGGATTTGGGCCATTCTAATAGGTGTGCAGTGGTATCTCTTTGTTGATTCGGTCCGCATTTCCCTGAGGACATTGAGTGTGAAGTCTCTTTTCATATGCCATCGGCATATCTTCTTTGATGAGGTGTCCATTAAAGTCTTTGGCCGATTTTTTAATCAGGTTGTTCATTTTCTTGCTGCTGAGTTTCAAGAGTTCTTTGTATATGCTAGATAACAGTCCTTATCAGATGTCTTTTGCAAAAATCTTTTCCCAGTCTGTGGCTTGCACATTTTTTTTTTTTTAAAGAAATGAATGTCACCTTGAAAGACTGAAGGGGCACTTGGGTGGGTCAGTCAGTTGAACGTCAGACTTCAACTCAGGTCATGATCTCACACTCATGGGTTCCAGCCCTGCGTTGGGTTCTGTGCTGATAGCACAGAGCCTGGAGCCTTGCTTCGTATTCTGTGTCTCCCTCTCTCTCTGCCCCTCCCCCGCTCGCACTCTGTCTCTCTCTCTCTCTCTCTCTCTCTCTAAGTAAATAAACATAATAATAATTAAAGACTGAAGCAGAAGGGTGCCTAGGTGGCTCGGTCAGTTGAGCATCTGACTTTAGCCGAGGTCATGATCTCACGGTTTGTGAGTTTGAGCCCCACATTGGGCTCACTGCTGTAAGCACAGAGCACACTTCGGATGCTCTGTCTTCCTCTCCCTCTGCCCCTCCCCTGCTCTCTCTCTCTCTCTCTTTCAAAAAAAAAAAAAAAAAAAAACAATTTTAAAGACTGAAGCAGAAATTATCAAATGGCTACCCTATTAATAAATGGATAAATATTTATTACTTTCCCTTTATAACTGATTCTTTGTTACCAACGTAGCCATGTTTCTAGTTGTTTCCCGGAGCCCTTTGTAGTAAAGGAATCTAACGAGTAATGGACGAGTACCTGTAAATGCAGACGGCGATACTGTGATATTTTAACTGCCCTTAAAATATGATCCTATTTGTGTAAGGATTAAAAATTTTTGTTTCTCTGTAAGCTGTAGTGTCTCAATTTCTTTGTGACCAATTTTACCAGTAAGTTTTCCGAGAAGTACATGTTAAGAGAGAACAAACGAATTAGAGTAATTTAGTGTACCAGATCAAGTGTTTCATTAGAACTTACCATTTTTACTTAGGTGAATGCACCTCAGAAAGCACCATATATCATCTTCTCTTTAGGTGGTCCTGACATGCCCCCTTACTATATCAGTCTGTAACCATGTAGTTGATCTATAGAAAGACAAGTGCTGTGGATGGAAGAACGAACACGTCGGTCATCCAACATGACCGTCCCTTTGGATCTAGAACTTTGAATTGTCCTAAGAGCATGCTGAATACTACGTTTGAGACATTCTCTCTTATGTCACAATCCCACCCTTAGCTTTTGGAGGGGAGAGGGTCCCCCATGTGACTTACCTTTTTATCCCTCAGAATATCTTGCACCGACTTAGCAGGTATATCGAGCATAGATTTGTTTAAGAGGTAGAAGACAAAGTGATTTGGGCAAAATTTACAGCATTTTCAGTCAGCAGTGCTTTCTGTGACACTTTTCCAAAGAGACGAGAGAGTTCGGATGTCGTCTGGGGCAGTGATTTGGAGATCTCATTGCGGGAAAGGGCCAGGGAGCAGATGGAAAAGGCATGACCAGGTGCCCATTGCTAAGAGGACAGACTCCAAGACCCAAGAAAGCGAGCACAACCTGAAAGCCTCACGCCCAGCTCTTCACTTAAATGACCGCGTGTAACTCCTTCTGCGAGTGTCCGATGCTCCCCACCCCCGCTGCCACAACAGGAACGATAGAAGGAACACTCCTTACACTTTTGCTTATAATGGGAAACGATGGAGCGACAGGCTTTCTTTACAAAATCTCACTTTTGCAACCAAGCATGTTGCAAGCATGGTAAGCCCTGGAAACTTCTGCCGTGGCTTTTCTCTGCAGGGTGCACTTCTGATGCTTTCACTGGGCTTTCTGCTTTTCTGTGGGGCTGGGATTTTTATAATAAAAGTAAGAGGCAAAAGGCAGTTTCTCTCCTGGAGTGGAATTAAACCATTGGCATTTAGAATAACATTGCCCCCTCCTTCCTGGCTACAATTATAAGCATCTCACAGACCTCCCTATGTGAGGTAAGGTGAGTATTTTGTCATCTTCTATTAATAGGGAGGGATTCTGAGTCATGGAGGCCTAAGTGATTTTTCTAGCCCCAGAAATAAAAGGAATAAAACGACGCAAGATGATGAGCACGTTATTTTAAGAACAGGATGATTTGGGTGGCATAGCATCATTTTCCTGGACAGTTGCAACTGCTTCCTAATTGGTTTTCCTGCCCCTGGTTTTCCTCTCCCCTGCAATCTACTCACCTCTTTGTTATTAGAATCATATTCTGAAATCATGTCACACCCTCGTATAAATATCTCTGATGACTTCTCACCGCCTAATGAAAAATTCCAAACTCCTTAGCATAGCATCCAAAGCCCATTTCCATCTGGCTTTACACTATCTTTCTTATGTTCTTTGCCGCTCTGCACCCTCTGTACTGTTGTCATGCATGGCCATGGCTCCAAGGTGGCCATGCCACCTGTCTCTCTGGCCTAGAGTGCCTTTCTTCTCCTGTCCCTCTGGGAGGAGGGAGAGGGGAAATCTGCATATCCAAATATTGTTTTCCCTGGGATACTTTGCAACACTCAAGGCCCAGGAACCATTTCCTCCTCTTGCTTTCTTTCTGTTGCAATGATCGTATTAACTGTTACATTCTAGCTACCTGGACATGAGTCTATTCTACCCAGTCCAATCTACTTTTTGTGGACAGCAGGGTCTGAATCTGACTGATCTCCACACACCCCAGCGATCATTTCAGTTCGACACACAACGGGTGCTCCCTGCGCTTGATGCCATTTTCAAGAAAAACCTTCCTTCGGGCAAATCCACAGGCAGTTTTGGGTACAGTTTCAGGGCTCGTGAAAAGAAATCAGAGTGAGTGCCAGTTCAAGAATGGAGCTTTCAGGGCACCTGGATGGCTCAGTCGGTTAAGCGTCTGACTTCGGCTCAGGTCATGATCTCACAGTTCGTGGGTTCAAGACCCACGTCAGCTGTGCTGACAGCTCAGAGCCTAGAGCCTGCTTTGGATTCTGTGTCTCCCTCTCTCTCTCCTCCTCCCCTCGAGCTCTGTCTCTCTCTGTTTCAAAAATAAATAAACATTTAAAAAAAAAAAAGAATAGAGCTTTCAAGGACAAGCAGGTTAGTTATGTTTAACATTGCATTCTTCTGTTATGAAGTTCTGATGTTTGTGGGTACAGTGTACCATTTGATTCCAGGTAACCACCCAAAACATTTCCATACTTCCTAACTAGAGCTGATGGGTGAGGAGCCTGGCTGGCTGGAATATCATTCGGAGCTTTCCAAATTCTGGCCCAACTTGTGTGAGCCACTCCTGGCTGCTGGATTACAAAACACTTGCCTGGGCCCTGCTCTAGACATTCTGAATCAGGGTCCTTAAGTGATAGGCCAGGCTGTGGACCACGAGCAAGTACCTCCAAGGTGTTTCTAAACATTTGAGACCCACTGGTCTGGCTGGGAGCCTCCCCCTAGGCAAGGAGATTTGGGGGGGATAGGTGTTGTAAGTGAGTCGTTCTCACTGCAGGTTGCATATGAGAATTCTCTGGGGGATTTTTGAGACCCTGGGACCCCCTTTATATCATTTAAATCAGAATTATTGGAGATGGGACTTGGGCCCCTGTGTTTTTTGAAACCTTTGCTTCTGAACCAGGTTGGGGATAGAATAAATGCCAGAATCTTTGGACAAAAATCATACGTGTCTAGTGGTTAGAGCTCCTGTTTACATGACACTTCTCACCGCACTCAACCTCACTCTTGCTAGAAAAGTAAATCTCATACCAAATTTAACAAGTAAAAAAAATACATGTTTTAGTAGGTAAGTGCGGTTATGCAAACTGTGTGTGGCTGAGGAAAGGTCTTTCTCTCTACCCTCAGTGCTTTGAGTAACAGCACCTTGCACGAATAGGCCATCCTAAAGGAAAGGCAGCAATGTTCAATATCAAAACCAGTGGGTTTTAATCTTGTGGGGGCAAGATGCTAGGTAAAGTGGGGGGTCACATGGCCCAGGGCCGGAGGCTACATGGTTATACACACGTAGGTGGGCTACGAGATCAGGGGTCCTATCACACTTCCTCTGACAATCACCAATTTCAGCAGTAGAAATATATATATTTTTAGAAATAAACATTTCTTACTACAAACTAAAACAGACAAACAAAAAAAGGGGTGCTTGGGTAGCTCAGTCGGTTAAGTGTCTAACTTGATTTCGGCTCAGGTCACGATCTCACGGCTTATGAGGTCGAGCCCTGAGTTGGCTCTGTGCTGACAGAGCAGAACTGCTTGGGATTCTCCAAACAAACAAACAAACAAACAATAAATAAATAATGAGTCTTTTTCCCTGGGAACTGCTTAGGCAAAAGATCGAGGAGAGGAAAGGTGGGAAGAGGGGGGCATGATCTACCAAGCATTTAGACTTTTGGCGTTTGGGTAAAGAATCTGAAAGTTTTGGTGGGTCCGGAAAAACGCGATGGGAATTCACCAAAAGATGCACCCTTGTCAGATGTTTAACAAAAATAGCCTTGGAATCATACATGTGCAAAAATCACTACAGAAACTGTGCTAAGCAACTGGTCTGTTTACTTAGGGCTGGGAGGGGGGGTTCTATATTGTGTCCTCAAGCACAGCACCCTTCCCCCACAAATGGAAGATTCCTTTCCATTCCACAGGACACTGGCTCTCATACCTGGCTCTGCCTCATCCCCTTTTTCTACTCCATCCGAAAATCTCCTCCTGGTAGGAAGTCAGTGGAAAGAAGGAACTTCTCATTAGATGAGGTTTCTTAGATGCAAGGAGGTCTTAAAAAGTTGAGGACCCATGACACAAATGGGTGCTCCCATTAGAGACTGCAAACCCAGGTCGCTGAGAGATGGTGGTTACATTGCTTGGGCCGGTAACCTCCCAATTGCCCTCTTGCAGAACACGCAGTCAACAGGACTGGCCTGAGCCGGCAGCGCGGGGGGGTGGGGAGAACATGCTGCCCTGCGGCAGGCAAGTCCGAGACTCCTGGGCAGTCCCTCTGAGGCCAGCAGCAACTTCAGTGTCACCAATTTACCAGAAACTGTGATCTCCGGGCTGCTGAGAGGTAAAGCAATGGACTCTCCAAAATTTTTTTCAAAATCTTGTATGGATAGTTTCTATTCCTGAGAACAAACGGACACTGTCGTGTTTTCCACTATATATTCCCCTTTCAGCAAGGTCAATAAACATTTATTAAGAACTGTGTGTTGAGGGCGCCTGGGTGGCTCAGTTGGTTAAGCAACCGAATTCGGCTCAGGTCATGATCTCGTGATTTGTGAGTTTGAGCTCTGCATTGGGCTCACTGCTGTCAGCACTGGGTCCCCTTCAGATCCTCTGTCCCCCTCTCTCTCTAAAAGAAAAAAAAAAAAAACTGTATGTGTGTGCGTGTTAATAATAAAAACAGGTGGGGCGCCTGGGTGGCGCAGTCGGTTAAGCGTCCGACTTCAGCCAGGTCACGATCTCGCGGTCCGGAAGTTCGAGCCCCGCGTCGGGCTCTGGGCTGATGGCTCAGAGCCTGGAGCCTGTTTCCGATTCTGTGTCTCCCTCTCTCTCTGCCCCTCCCCCCGTTCATGCTCGGTCTCTCTCTGTCCCAAAAATAAATAAATGTTGAAAAAAAAACTATAAAAATAATAAAAACAGGTAACTGTCAATGAATTATTACTGTTTCAGGACTGTTCCTACCCCTTTACAAAGAGAAGTTATTCATTACAATAGCCCTGTAATATAGTATCCCCATTTTACAGATGAGGACACTGAGGCATAGGGAGATTATGTGATCTCCCCCAGAGTCACATGATTAGAAAATTTGTGAGTCAGGATTAGAATCCAGGTTGGTCTCAGACCAACCCCAGTCCTGGAGTCAATCCAGAACTCCCAGTCTTGACAAGCAACATAAAATTTAACAAGTTATATAGAAGTTGCCATTTTATAACAGGTTGAATTCACAACAGTCTGCATGGAGTCATGCTTTAGAGCTATACCTATCAAGTAGGGAGCAAAACATACCTACTGGACAGGTTTCCAAGGGACTGAGGTACAAGTTTGGATTCTTGTGTAGTTACCTGACATTTGAGTCCAGCCTTCCCCACTATAAAACTGGAGTAACGGTGTATCTGCTTGGCAAAGGTATCATGGAAGCAGTTAGATTTAATTTAACATCTATAAGGCTGGATGTAGACGAGATTGTAGCCCTTATGTTGTCGTTGTGTTTTTCGCAACATACCCAAATATAACTTTTGTCATTAACCCCTCAAATGGCCGAAAGCAGTGTTGCTTACACTGGAGTTTGGAGGCCCCTGGGGTTCCCTCAATGTATTCTGGGTGATCTGCAAGTTCTTAAGTTTAATCGATGAAGCTAAAGTGTGCCTTGCTTGTCTTGTGGACACACATAATCATTTCTCCTGATCGCTGAGGCAAAAGGGCTGAGAGGAAATAGCACCTTCTTAGAATAATAATTAGTTCTCTTACCCAACAGTTATTTGCATTGTTCACACCTGCATAAATAAAGGAACACAAGATGAGGAGAAAAGTCGCCAGAGGAGCCAAGGCCCACACAAGGAGGCACAAGGCAAATGTTCTGCGTGTAGCTGCAGCACGGCTAATGCCCAGGAAGCATCAATGATGCTTCATGACATGACTGAGGAGCTTCTGGCAAGACAGCTACACATAGTCCCTTGCCTCCCCCGAAGGCAAAGCCTAATTTCCCACTAAGGATATTGCTGGGCTTTGGAAATAGTACAATGGGAAGCAAGGCATCATCGTCCTTTTCCAAACAACAACGACAGTAACAAAAAAACAGTGAGTGAGCTTGCCTGTCCTCAGAGATGCCAACTTCCTGATGACTTCTTACATACACATTTACAGATGCTTTTGTAGCTCTTACGTTTTGAAATAAAGGATACGAGAGAGGAATCAATGAACGTATGCAACTGGAAGGAAAGGGACAAATGCATCCGAAAGAAGAAATCAACATTTTATCTTTCAACGAATTTCCTTACTCGACTGTCTAGCTTCGGAAGAATATTCTAGATCACGTCTCTGGGATCCTGAATGTCTGTTAATGTACATTCCACCGGGCGATGGGAGAGAAAACACAAGAGAGCCGATGAAGACCGGAAGTTTTCAGAACTTAGCCTGGCTGAGGCCAAGGTCTGACTTCACAATGGTTCATGGTTTCCTTTGGGTCTTGTCACTGTGGCCAGGTGCAAAAGTGCATCTCCTTTCTAGGAAAGCTCCAACCACTCCCTGGATGTGACTGTGGACGTGTAGTTCTGGCACTGCTGCTCCCTACCTACCTGTTAGCTGCTGTCTAACCCGGCTTGCCTTTCTCCCCACCTCCACGTTGTTTGGGAAAATCATTAGCCTGTGCTTAATAAGACCCTTCAGCAACTCACCAAGGGGCGGGCTGTTTGACTGCAAGCCAGGATCAGCAGTCGTGGTATTTTAATTTGGGGCTCATGCTTGAAACTCCTTTTGGCTTTCCCTACGCACGGCCTATCAGTGTGCAGAATGTGTGTTTCCTATTGTCAGGCCTGTGGGCCTCTTGTGTTCCACAGTTCCTGCCGTTCAGACAGAACTTGCTGTCTTTGTGAGGCACCTGTCAGGAGAGTTCAGCTCGAGGTTTGTGAACCCCATAGGCCCTTTCAATCAGGTCTGTGTCAAACACATTTCTCAACTGCAGAGAAATTCTGTTCTGAGGCTTAGCTGTTCAGAAAGCCACTGGCTGTCACTTTGAGGGCCTCCTTGGGACTTCTAAAAGTGAATCTTGAATATGCCACAAGACTACATTTTAAGTCAGACCTTCCAAAACACTCTCATTGACGGAAAACTGAACTTATTTTCACACGATGTGTTAATAAATATTGTATTCACAGAGAGATTACTTCAAGAAGATTAAAAGTCATGCTAACTCTTCTGGGTCTAGTAAATTGCAAGTGTCCTCAAACACAGGAAAATGTCTGCAAAGTTGGAATGCTTCTCCAATAGTCAAGCAAGCATTCATAAACAAAAGACTTACTTTCAAGGGGCTTTCCAGGGGAAACACTCGATGAAAAGAATTCAAGCCGGAGTGCTTGGTGCCTTCACACAAATACATACACACACAGAGAAATTAGGACATGTAACATTGCTTCTGTGCACTCCTGAGGGGTAAGGCAAGACCTGCTTCATGCTCCAATCTGGAAACACCGTTTTCTGCATATGAATGATACCCTCAGCAGGGAACTGGGGCCTCCGGAAATAAGAAAGCCTGTGGTTCTTCCTGATGCTAGAATTCTTCTGAGAGCCTTTTTCCTGAGAGCCTGGGCAACAGGGCCAGGATGACGAGGATCAAGGCAAGATCACCAGCAACGGGGAGTCAACTTTCTGCAGGAACGAGGCAGTGAGTTTTAAAAACATCATCTTTTGAATACTCACTTTGTGCCCTACACTTTTTGGGTGTCTCTAATCCTCCTAGGGCCGTAACGAACGTATAACTATTCCTAATTTTACACACTACTGAATTCCCTTGTTTTTCTCCACAGCACTTTCACTTTCTAACATACTGTAGAATTCTTTTGTTTATTGTCTGTCTTCAACAGAATGTAAGCTTGGAGTGGGGGAAGGGTAGGTATTCTTGCCCACTTTATTCCCTGATTTCCTGGAGCCCAGAATGAAGGAGTGAATGAGTGAATAAACAAATGAATGAACGAATGAATGGAGGCCAGTGAGGCTAAGTGACTTTCTCCTATCAAACTACTCGTGAGTAACAGAGCTAAGGTTTGAACCCAGGCCCACGTGCAGTGCTGACACACTAGATTAGTAATGGCAGTTGTCAGGATTAGAATCTAAGACAAATTCGGAGGAAGAAAGATATGCAGCATTTAGTGCACGGCTGACTAATGAAGAGGTGTGTGCAAAGAAGATAACCAGATATAAAACGGCAGGGAAATAAGTCTAACTTTTGATCTTTGACATTGATGGGGAGGGTGCAACAGACTATGTGAAGCTGAAAAGGCCTGGTGGTCAAAATTCAAAACGTAGAACTCAATCCTTCAAATTTTGGCAGGGAACAGCGCAGTGCGTGGTCTCCATCATACCCTATAAGACGCATATGTGTTAATCCTTAATGGTCTGACCTCAAATCCTGACCCCACTGTTTGTTACTATGTGACCTCGTGCAAATTCCTTAAGCGCTGTGAATGGGGATGATTTTCATGGGGTTTTCTGGAAACTGACCAAAATCATGCATGTAAACACAGAAATCAAAACCAAGCCTTCCGCGTAGTAAATGTGCAATCTACATGTTGTTTCTATTTTATCATTTTGGTGTGGCTGGAGAAGAGGGTGTTTAATAGGGGACCAGTTAGGCAGAAGTTAGAAAGGTAGGGGGGTACTTTGTGTTAGCCATCTTAAAGGATTTTGACACTGGTCTGTAACAGCACCTGCTTTGTTTGACAGCTGAATTGGGATGGATTAAACTGCCTGGGGCATTCCTCAGAGGGCTTTTCTGTAGACTGCCAAGCTCCAGGCGGGCTGTTAGGCAGGCCTCAAAGGGCATCTGGATGAAAAGGACTCAGACCATTGTGCAGGCTGGGAATTAAGAGCGATAAAAACATCAACAGCCAATAGCACATCACCATCATGCCAGGAAGCTTCACCCATTTAACCATCTCAGAGAACCTATGAAGTGGATATTTTTATTATCTTCATTATGCCACATGGAAGATGAGGTTTACAAAAGATGACTTAACCAAGGCCACACGTTTAGGAAGTGATCGGGGCACAATTTCAACCCTGGCCACCACGCTTCAAAGACCCTTTACGCCCCTCTTCTTAGAACCGAGTGGTCCGAATGGCATTTTCTAGAAAGTGCTGAGAAGAACTGACATTCCGTTGATGTAGGATTCGGAAGCATAGGTCAAACTAAGCGTCTCTGTCTTCAGGTTTGAGAAGTGTTGCGGTTATCCTCCCAAATTCATGCCCAGGTAGTGCACTTTTACAATAGCGAAGTAACAACCGACTTCCCTCCCTGTCTCTTCTGTTGGAGATCCCAGGCTGAAAGATTTTACCCTTCGCAGTTCTACTGCAGAGCGTCTTGCCTCGCCCCCAGGACCCAGTGACTGGAACGTCTTGGGGTGGGAAGGCCTGTAACAGGTGGGGGTGGATCGGAGGCTTCAACTCCAGCGCAGGCCTCCTCCAGTTGGAACTAGATGATACCCAGTGAAATATGGGAATTTTGTTCCAAGGGATGCCCAAAAAAGGCGCGGGGAGAGCGCGCGGCAACCCCCACCTTCGTTGAACACGCTCCTCCAGGGGCGGCCTGCTTGCAGCACAGCTCCAAAATTGGCAACCTGGGCCTCGCAGCCGCCTTTTTTTAGCCTACATTCCCCAAACCAAGGAAGAGGCGGGTGACTAAAAATGCAAATCGGAGCCGGGGCGTCAGCAGGCAGGCCCGTGGGTGCGGGGCGTCTGGCTGGGGGAGACCCCGCGACCTCAGGTGCCCTCCGCTATACTCGCGGTGGGCGCCGGGAGGGGCACTTGGGGAGACACGCTCCTCTTCGAACCACTGCCTCCGCTTCCGCCTCCCCGGCGGCGGCGGGACTATGCGCGGCCTCTTTTCCGCCGGGGGTTAGGGAGGGGAGGCCGGATTAGGGCCCGCGCTTTCCGGCCGCAGGGCCCCCCTGCCCCCAGCGCCCGGCCGGCGGTACACAGGTGGTTTTCCGCTCGGGAGGGGCAGGCCGCGGCACTTTTATATAACAATAGAGCTCTGCGCGCGGGGTCTGCGCCTCCTCGCCGCTGCGGCCCCCACCCGGCCACGCCTCCATCCGGCCCCCGGCCGGCCCGCCCTGCTCCCCGGCGCCGCGGCAGAAAGCAGCGAGCCCGCCTGGCCGGCACTTCCTCAGTTACCTGCTGGCCCTGCAGAGCGGCCGAGACGTTCCCTGGGACTCCCAGCCCTCCGTGGAGCAAGGGGTCCCGGCAGGCACTCCTCCTCGCCTCTTACCCACCCCAGGCCGCGTCGGAACCCCAGAGGCCCGCTTTCGGCCCCCCACCCGACCTCAGGGTAGCCCAACGCCCAGCGCAGCTGAGCCAGGAGGCGGGGGCGACCGGGTGCTGGCCAGGAGCGCAGCGCGCAGGCGCAGCTGGTGCTCGCTAGTGCCCTGCGACCCGCAGTGGAGGGGGTTGTCAGGGTGAGACCGAAGGCTCCCCTCTGACAGGCCTCTCTAGTCTACCGTAGCTGATCGCGGAGCCTGCGCGGGCCCCCGCAGGCCTTGCGGTAGGACTTCCCCACGACACGCCGCTGGTGGGGACAGCCGCCCGGCTCCGCGCGCCCAGAATGCACCTAGACCCGGCAACCGCGCCAGACCGGCTCCTCCGTCGGAAGCCGAGCTAGCTGCCCAGTAATGATTAACGAGCGCAACCCCTCAGCGCGCGGTGGGTGACCGCAGGAAGGGGGGTGGGTAGGGCTTGGATCCCCGGAACAATGGCTCATAACGCCCCAGGCCGCTGGAGGGGAATAAAAGCATCGAACTGTCCAACCAGTTTGTTTCTGCAGGCTCCACTGTTTAAAAACAAAATAAAGTAATTTAAACGCTATTAAAAACAAACAAAAAACCCCCCATCAACCTTCCTTCCTATTATCTGGACAACCAGGCACTTGTTTGTTTGCTTGCTTGCTTGAAAATGTTCCAACAAAATCCTAGTTTGTTTCGAAAGATGTTGGATTAGCATTTAACACCTCATCGGTCACTAAAGCCCAGGCAGTTCACCAGCCCCAACACAGCCTCAGCTAAAAGAACATCAGAGCAAACAGAGCTGGGCTTTTTAAACTGGCAAACAAATGCCACACACCGCCTAAAGAAGGGCGGAGGAGGGGGGTTCAGGCGAAACTCCTGTCCAAATGAGTTTAAAGGGAATAAAAAGGAAAAAAAAAAAGCACAAGTTTTCTTAAAGCTAGCTTGCGAACACAGGCGTCACGAACAAGGGCTTTTGTGCCTGCTAATTGCACCATTTGTGCGCAAAAGTTCCGACGCGAAGTGTGAACTCTCAACAGAAGGAAACATGAGACAACTGAAGTGCCCTGGTTTATGTGCCCCGCTCCTCCTCCGCCGCCGCCTCCTCTTCTTTCTCCTTCCTCCCGCCGAGCCCGCTGTTGCAGCTTGTTTGCACTGGGGCTTATCCGGAGCGGAAATTCCTTTCCGTTTTTGTGAATGACAAACTCATTAACAATTCATCAACACAACCTGTTCCAGCCGGCCCGTCCCCACGGCAACAGCCCCTTCCGCAGCGCGCTCATTGGCTGGCCGGGAGAATGTATCCATTGAGACGCTCGCTGTTTGTATCCATTGAGGAGCTGCCTCGCGCAGGGGGTGTGCGAGGGTTGAGTCCAAGGGAGAGTGAGCAAATCGAGGTTTGAATAATCCGAGGAGAAAGACGCCTGGGCGGATTTGAGGTGCAGCCTTGAAGGGAGGGATTAGGAGCCGCTGGACTTTTTTTTTTTTTTTTCTTCCCCTCCCCTCTTAGTAGCAGGGAGTCCGAATTAATTGGATTTCATTCACTGGGGAGGAACAAAACTGTCTGGGCAGCTTCATTCAAAGAGATTCATTGACACCAAGAGCGAGCGGCTGCAGCGGGGTGCAGCGGGAACCGCCGGCTTCACTTCTGTCTCGCTTTCCCCAACCGCTAACACGGTCTGGGAAGGACGAGGTGGAATTAAACCCCGCTCAGAGAGCGGCAGCTTCGCGCAGCGCGCTCGGCCTATGCCTGCCCCGAGGGGCGTCTGGTAGGCACCCCGCCCTCTCCGGTAGCTCGACCCCCATGATAGATACGCTCAGACCCGTGCCCTTCGCGTCGGAAATGGCGATCAGCAAGACCGTGGCGTGGCTCAACGAGCAGTTGGAGCTGGGCAACGAGCGGCTGCTGCTGATGGACTGCCGGCCGCAGGAGCTGTATGAGTCGTCGCACATCGAGTCAGCCATCAACGTGGCCATCCCGGGCATCATGCTGCGGCGCCTGCAAAAGGGCAACCTGCCGGTGCGCGCGCTCTTCACCCGTGGCGAGGACCGGGACCGCTTCACCCGGCGCTGCGGCACCGACACCGTGGTGCTTTACGACGAGAGTAGCAGCGACTGGAACGAGAACACCGGCGGCGAGTCGGTGCTTGGATTGCTGCTCAAGAAGCTCAAGGACGAGGGCTGCCGGGCGTTCTACCTGGAAGGTACGCGCCGGGGGAGCCCCGCGCGCGGGGCCGGGCGGGGGTCGCGGGGCTGTGCGCTGCGGGCAAGGCACGAGGACTGCAAGTGGCCCTGCTGCGCTTGACTGGCGCTTCTGAGTCGCGCCGCGGGGTCGGGGGACAGCCGCCAGCTACCGGCTGCGAACCTCGAGCGTCCCGCACTCGCGAGCAGGCTGGCGCAGAATCCACCAGCTTCCGGCCACAGGCACGGGTTGTTTCTTTCTAACCTACCTACCGGGAGTCTCCTCCACCTGTCCCTGCTTTCTATCGTTCGATCTTGAATCGAGATTTGCAGGACAGGAGAGGTCATGGTGTGTGTGTGTGTGTGTGTGTGTGTGTGTGTGTGTGTGTGTGTGTGTTTGTGTGTGCAGATCGCACCTCCTGGTCCCTCAAAATATTTTTAAAAGTTGCCCTTTTATGCATCTCTGGATTTAAAAGAAGGGTTTCCAGGGAAGGCGGGCCTGTTCGTTCCACTCCCGAGGGTACACATTTAAGTGTCTTTCTGTTATAGTTGGGTCTGTGTGTAGGGGGTTCGTAGGGTGCTGGGGTGTTTCCTGCGCCCGGCCGCGGCTCTCACTAGCTGTGAAAACTACTACGGGATCTCAGGTTACACTATTGTCTTTCTCGTCCTGGCAGGTGGCTTCAGTAAGTTCCAAGCCGAGTTCGCCCTGCACTGCGAGACGAATCTAGACGGCTCATGTAGCAGCAGCTCGCCACCGTTGCCAGTGCTGGGGCTCGGGGGCCTGCGGATCAGCTCTGACTCCTCCTCGGACATTGAGTCTGACCTTGACCGAGACCCCAATAGTGCAACGGACTCGGATGGCAGCCCGCTGTCCAACAGCCAGCCTTCTTTCCCCGTGGAGATCTTGCCCTTCCTCTATTTGGGCTGTGCCAAGGACTCCACCAACCTGGACGTGTTGGAAGAGTTCGGCATCAAGTACATCTTGAACGTCACCCCCAATTTGCCGAATCTCTTTGAGAACGCAGGAGAGTTTAAATACAAGCAGATCCCCATCTCGGATCACTGGAGTCAAAACCTGTCCCAGTTTTTCCCTGAGGCCATTTCTTTCATAGGTGAGACTAATTAAGAGTCCTTCCTCAGACTTTTAACTGCAAAATTCCTAGCCATTCATAGAACTTAAGCTGTTAACCCTTTCTGGCTGCTTGTTAGCATGTCTGATTGCAGGTCTCTAATGTTACAAGCAGAGAATTCTGGTTTATCTTCTTGCTGAAAGAAAGAAAAAGTGCCTTTTGACATGGCTGCAGACCACAGGTGTCTTTGAAATGGTGCTTTCTGACACTTTGAATTCAGTCATTTGAGAGCGGGCTGTGTATTATCGGGCAACAGAATTTTCTCACAGTCTTTGGACTCGGAAAAGGCTAGCTAGAAGTCCTCCCCATTGACAGGAATTTTAGCACTGCTTTATAATTTTAAAAGATCTGAGAGTTATTTTAGGACATCAGGTTAGTTGTTGGAAAGCCCTATGAATGCTAGATGTTGTAATTCAGTTGAATGTTACTGTGATACGGGTTCACAGTGAGACAGTGAGGGTAACCTGAGCCCAGCAGGAAGGACTGTGGGCTGGAAGCCTGGAGAAGCGAATCTCCAGGCATTGTAATGCATTTCCTATTACAAAGGAACTCATTTTCAGGCCATGTCGACATCCTGTTCCTCCTAATGGGCTGTCCCCTGTGACTTCCCTCTCTCTTTTAAAATGCCTGAATACCTCCATTGTTAGCTGCACAACAGTTGGAGAATAATTTAATAGACCCTTGCAGTCTGCTTGTCTGTATAAAAGGCATTCAAGACCATATTGCAGGGTTTCTGGTATTCACATGCTGAGGCAAAGAATGCACACATTAAGGATTTTTTGTTGTTGTTGTTGGCAGAAACTTAATACAAAAGCTCCCTTTTCAGAAAATATCTGAAATATGTAATTGTGCCCAGTGTACATGATTTATCTCAATGATACATTTTCTGCTGCCTGCAGGGTCCAGCTGCCACACACGATTCTTTTTTCTTTCTTTCTTTCTTTCTTTCTTTCTTTCTTTCTTTCTTTCTTTTCTTTGTCTTTTCCTTTAACTCAGTTTTTAGACTAATCATTCACAAAGCGTGGTTTTCGGTCTACTGAAAGCTTGCCTTTCTTTTTGTGTTTACAGATGAAGCCCGGGGCAAAAACTGTGGCGTCTTGGTGCATTGCCTGGCTGGCATCAGCCGTTCGGTCACTGTAACTGTGGCTTATCTTATGCAGAAGCTCAATCTGTCAATGAACGATGCTTATGACATTGTCAAGATGAAGAAATCCAACATCTCGCCCAACTTCAACTTCATGGGCCAGCTGCTGGACTTCGAGAGGACGCTTGGACTCAGCAGCCCCTGTGACAATCGGGCCCCCACGCAGCAGCTCTATTTCACCACCCCCTCCAACCAGAACGTCTACCAGGCGGGCTCCCTGCAATCCACGTGAGAGGCCCCACACGCCTCACCGGATGTGTCCGTTCCTTTAGCCGTTTCTCTTGGCAGCATCAGCTGGGCTGCTTTCTTTGTACACGGCCGCAGGTGTCAGAATGACACCAGTTGTCTGTATTAGACGAGGTTCCCACGTGTGGAATTGGTTATTACCATGGGAGAGATTTGCTCCATTCTTGTTGGAAGAACAGAACATGCTGTATAGATACGGGCCATAGGTTCGCTCCACGCCCGTGTGTACAGCCTACCCAGGCAGGGACTGGAATTCTAGGGTCACCAGGTATATAGGGTAGGACCAAAGGGTAGGGGAGGAGCATGTGTTTAGGGCCTCGTATGACTGTTTCTTTTTGCGCCTGGAACTGATTACATACTGTCTTCAGTGAAGACGGATTCAATTTTGCATATAGAGGAGCCAAAGAGAGGTTTCAGCTCTGTATTTGTAGTATCAGTTTGCAAAAAAATATAAAAAATTAAATAAATAAATAAATAAAGGTAATAATAAAGAAAACAAATCTGATACTCCATTTGATTATTGTAAATATTTGATCTTAAATCACTTGACCGTGTTTGTTTGAGTTGTGTTTGTTTTTTCTTTGATGGGTTTAAAAGAAATCATCCAAAGGGAGAGCAGTACGCCACTTCTTAAAACAGAAAAACCAGAAATGTTTGCTCTTTCCTAATCCAAAGGGTATATTTGCAGCATGCTCGACTTCACCAACTCTGAATCACGTTTTCATGGACACTGTTCTCACTGAGACCTTGTTATGGTGC